GGGGGGGGGCGGGGCTTAAAATCTGACTGTATGAGTGACTGTATGAGCCAAATCTGGAGATATTTCCACAAAATGCATAGCTGAGGTCTGTTGTGTTGAATTCATTGGAAGGAGGAAAATATGTGAGATTTGTGTTTTAATACCGCGACTCCAATGTGGAGCTGCTGATTTATTTTTAAACAACTTGTTATGCATCATAGTGCCTTCGAGCTCGTTTTCCCAAACGCCCCCTTCTGGTTGAACTTCGTCATCCTTATGTTTTCCGCCACGCATGAAAAGGGGCCCACAGAAGTCGGTGTGCCTTGTCTGACAGTTGGGGGCGCTGCGACAGCCTGGCGGTCTCCGTCTGAGCGGAGTCTCAGTGCGTCATGCTGTCGCCTGAACACGCCTCAAGGTTAGCTTAGGAATGATACGGTGCGACCGTGTGTGGGTGTGATGTTTGGGGAACAGGGTGTACTATCACGCTGTTTTATTTTAACTTCCTCAGGATAGACGATCAATGGGCATGTCTCTGTGTAATAAATTAAATGAACACAATCGGAAAATGTTGTTTGGGGTGTTTTTTTTTCCCAATTTAACATGGACAAAATGTGATATTCGTTCAGATGAGTTGGTAAAACAATAAAGCCTCACTGGCCGCGACTAGAGCAGGAGCAAACACGTGTTGTAGCATGTCTTCCCCTAGGTGGCGCTATGCGTAGTGATCTGTCCACCTGCTCAGCAGAAACTTAATCTTTAACACACAGAGCGCAAATAATATTTTAAACCAAAACAAGGGACTATTTAAGGAAGCTTCTCTCGGCTCCTCAGGCAGCTTGGACAGACAACATCCGGAGGCAGGATCCAATTAAACACGCAGCCCCTGGACCAGTTGATGGGTGATCTCATGCTGCCAAGTTTGGCCAGGCCTGGGAGATCCTGCTGATCATTAGAAGGAAGCTCTCAGGATTTCTTGAACGCCAGACTTGGTCCCGCAAGAGGGATGGTAAGCGATCAATCCAGTAGGTTGAAATACTTTAATGAAGCATCAGGTCTCTCAACTTGCGTTTCATTTACCTTTATCTGGCGGAGACGTTTGTACAATGTGACGTTCAGCAGAAGTGCATCTCGACTCCATACTGCTAACACGTTATGAAACGTACTGCTTTTTGTCGGGCTTGATTATGTCAGAAGGTTTGGGACGTCTTTGTACGCAAATCTCAGTACGTGTCGAGCAGACTGTTTACACATAGAAAAGAAACATTACACAGTATGTGGTGTCTCTCATCTGTCAGACTGGGAGAAAGCAGACTCTGCGCTTCTGATTTGTAGCGAAAATGGAAAATGGCTCATTTCAGTTTAATTTCATCCAGTTAGGAAGTGATGGTTGACAGATACTAGCGTGACGTCTCCCTCTATTGGCAGTGAATTCTAATACATCCATTCATTCATCTTTCATATCAACTTTGACAATGAGCCTGGGGCCTACCCCAGGAAGCACAATGCCTTATAGATTCACACCATATTTCAGTCCCCATGTTCAGCAAACGCCCTTGGGAGGAACAGGGCAAACACCTTTGATGGGACATCGGCTCCTATCAAGCCTCTAATTCAGGACGGCTGGCCTACTGTGCCATTTCTACTAGAGAAACAGATAAAAATGAAGCAATAGAATGGGACAACGCAAATAGCTGCAAAAGCGGTCCTAAATGCAGCACTGCTCATAAGACAGGGGAGATCACTGGGAAGAGTGTGTCACACATCGCGAGTCATTAGTGACAATGGAAATTCTGAGGACCAAAGCGGAAGAGTGCAGGCGGATGTCAGCTGATTCCAGAGAGGGGGACATCCCTTCATTTAAAGGCGGGGAGGTCGGGTGTGGGGCAGAAGGCAGCCAGGGACCGCGGGCAGGATGTCTGTGTGTCCGGAGCTCAGCTTCAACGCCCAGCACGGCTACCTGGAGGGGCTGGTTCGCGGCTTCCGAGCGGGCATCCTGAAGCGGGAAGACTACGCCAGCCTGGCACAGTGCGAGACTCTGGAGGGTAAGAGAAAAGCGCCGACATCGCATCCCTCGGGGCAGCATCTCGCCGCCCATTCAGCCCTGCCAGGGTCCTGCTCTCTGACAGGCTGTTTATCCGCTCCGTTGGCCCCCCCGCTCCGATCCCTGGGGTCTGCTTGTACCCCATGGGGGGAGCCAAATGCAAGCCGTCCTAGAGGCAGAGGTGGAAAGTTTCGGTTAATCTGTCCTAGAGGCAGAGGTGGAAAGTTTCGGTTAAGCCGTCCTAGAAGCAGCGGTGGAAAGTTTGTGTTAAGAAAGTACAAACCCAGACCAGGATTTTGTTTCAACCAACCAGGTGATTATAAAGGGTCACAGTCGCAGAGTAAGTACTTAGCTGGTTGGTTGAAACAAAACCTTGTTTCAAAATTTGTACTTTCTGGGCCTGAACTTCCCACATCTGCCTAGAAGCACTGTACTTTGACCAGAAAAAAAAAATGGTGACGTGGCAGATTCTGTCCAGGCGCTTTTCTCAAAAAAGAAGAGGGAAGCAGAACCTGTGACAGATGAGTCAGTCAGTCGGATCCTCGAACACGGCCAGCAAGGAACTGCCGGTATAGATAACGAAAGGCTGTTCACGATATTTTGTTGTTATAAGGGAGCGCATAACATTAAAGAGCATCGTGCATGAAGCGCACCTTACAACTGAAGAAGTGTTTATAGATAAATGTTACTCCCCACTGTGTTTACATTTGAAAATAATTTAAGTTTTTGCTAAAAAAAAAATAAATCATTTTTAGTGATCAGTCGATTTTCCCTTCATATTTCATGTAATTACGTATATCCAGATCTGAAGGTGCACCTCCAGACCACAGACTACGGGAAGTTTCTGGCCGGCGAGAGCGAGGATCTGACGGTGTCGCTGATCGACGACCGGATGAAGGAGAAGCTGCAGGCGGAGTTCAGCTACCTGCGCTGCCACGCCGTGCGGCCGCTCTCCACCTTCCTGGACTACATCACGTGAGGGAGGGGGGGAATGGGCACGTCACTAACACTGGTACCACATCATATGAATACAGAGTAGGTACGAGTCCCTAAGGAGGGGGCTGTGCTGGGACAGGGCGATCACATGACCACCACCTGGATTTACGGATGCTCTTAGCAGACACCCCCCAGTAAACACCCCCCTCTGCCTTCCTGTCCCTTCCCTGTTCCCTTTTGTTTCCTCTCCTCTCTTTGTCCCCCTATCTCTATTCCTATTCCGCATGCTGCGCCCCCCTACCGGCGGCGTTCCTTTCTTGCCCCATGTCCCCCTCCGAGCGCCCCGCTTCGCCTCTTCTGGTC